AGATGGAGGCAGAGATGGGGGCATGGAGAAGGGCAGTGGCTGAGGATTCTAGATTCATGGACTAAGAAGAGAAGGACTAAGAGCTGGTGGAAAGGAGGCAGACTTACAGAATGTGCCCTTTGGAGATGTAAATTATTATATATGCCTGAGTGTTTTTTTTTTGTTTTTTGTTTGTTTTTTAAAAAGCTAAAGTGGATAGAGAGAAATACTGTTAATTGATGGTACATGGAAGGGATTATAATCATTGTAATGAAACAAGGTGTATGATTTGTTGAATGTAAAATTGATGATATGCCTTGTAAACTTTCATTCAATCCACAATAATAACCTTAAATAATAAAAAACAAGAAGACAAATCAATTATTATAACGAAATGTGCAAAGACTTGATGTTAGAAAACCAAATGGAAAGAGCATGCTCAGCATTTCTGAAACTGAGGGAACTGGAGAAGAAATTCAAGACTCGACTTACAATATTGAAGGCTTCTGTGGACAAAATAAGGAGCTCTGGTAGCATAGTGGTTACGAATCGGGCTGCTAACCTCAGGAACAGCTGTTCAAAACTGACAGCTGTTCCACGGGAGAAAGATGAGGCTTTCTGCTCCCATAAAGATTTACAGCCTCGGAAACTCTGTACAGGGTCGCTATGAGTCGGAACTGACTTCACAGCACATAACCACCACCACCACCTTGGGCAAAATATTGAATGATGCAGAAAGCATAAAAAGACGATGGAAGTAATACACAAGAGTCACTGTACCAAAAAGAAATGGTCAATGTTCAACCGTTATAAGAGGTAGCATTATGATCAAGAGCCAATAATACTGAAGGAAGAAGTCCAAGGAGCACTGAAAGCCTTGGCAAAGAACAAGGCTCTGTGAATTGATGGAATACAAATTAAAATCTTTAACAAACTGATGAAGCATCGGAGGCACATACTCATTTATGCCAAAAAGTTTGAAAGACAGCCACCTGACTGTCTGGAACTCAACCTGGCCAAAACTGTTTGGAAGAGACACATGTTTGTGTCCATTCCAAAGAGAGGCAACCCAAGGGAATGTGGGAATCACCAAACAGTATCATTAATATCACATGCAAGTAAAATTTTACCAAAGATAATTTTAAAAATGGCTGCAACAAGTACATTGACAGGGAACTGCTGAAGGTTTAAGCTGGATTCAGACAAGGATGTTGAACAAGGAATAATATCATTGCTGACATCAGATGATCTTGTCTGAAAGCAGAGAACACCAGAAACATGTTTACCTGTGCTTTATTGACTGTGTAAAGGCTTTCAACCATGAGGATCATGACAATCTATGGACAATATTGTGAATAATGGATATTCCTGACCACTTAATTGTACTCATGAAGGAACCTGTACATAGACCAAGAGGCAGTGCGAACAGAACAAGGGGGACACCGAATGGTATAAATTCAGGAAAGGTGTGCACTAGAATTGTATTCATTCAATCTGTACGGTCAGGAAATAATCTGAGAAGCTGGATTATATGAAGAAGAATTTGTCATCAGGATTGGAGGAAGACTCATTAACCTTTGATATGTAGATGATATAACCTTGCTTGCTAAACAGAAAAAAAGACTTAAAATATTTATGGATGAAGCTCAAAGACCACAGCCTTCATTCTGGGTTGTACCTCAGTGTAAAGAAAACAAAAATCTTAACCACTGGACCAATAAATAACGTCATTATAAATGGGAAAAAGATTGAAGTAGTCAAAGACTTCATTTTGCTTGAATCCACTATAACACTCATGGAAGCAACAGCCAAGAAATCAAATGACATATTGCCTTAGGCAGATCTGCTGTGTAATACCTCTTTAAAGTGTTCAAAAGCAAAGGTGTCAGTTTGAGGACTAAGGTGAGCTGATCCAAGCCATGGTGTTTTCAGTAACCTCATATGCATGTGAAAGTTGGACAATGAATAAGGAAGACCGTAGAATTAGTGCACTTAACTTAAGGTGTTGACAGAGAATATTATAAATACCATGGACTGCCAGAAAAACAAATAAATCTGTTGGAAGAAGAACAGTCAGAATGCTCCTTTAGAGGCCAGGATGGTAAGACTTTGTCTCTCACACTTGGGACAGACATATTATCAGGAGGGACCAGTCCCTAGAGAAGGACATCATGTTTGGTGAAAAGGAGGATCAGTGAAAGAGAGGAAGACCCCCAACGAGATGGATTGGCACAGTGGTGGTAGCACTGGGCTCAAATGTAGTGATGACTGTGTAGACGGTTCTGTTGTGCATAGCATCGCTACAAGTCGAAACTGATTCAATGGCACCCAAAAAGCATTTTGTAAGCTTTTGTCCTTTCCTTTTTTATCTTATTACCAATTCAAACCAGAGCTACCTAATAACCACATTTACAAGAATATATGTGATTTAAAAAAAAGCATGTGTGAGTGCTTTTACAGAGATCTTTTGGTCTTTGTATTGCCCTTGTTGGGTCCCTATGGAACGTTAGTTCTAATCTGTAACAACAAGGTTTCCATGAGTCAATCAACTTTATGGCATCGGGTTTGGTTTTTGTTTTGGCTTATTTGTCCTTATGGAATGGATTGGGCAAGAGAGATCATCTGCTTTTTAGAGCATGAGATGGTAAGAGATTTGCCTAACCGTAATTAATGAATGGTTAGATACTCCTAGCATATAAATGTATGTACATTCCATTTATTGACACCTTTTTGGATCTAGAGATGGTATTTAAAGTGTTACTTTAAAAAGCTTTTAAACTGTTTTATAATAATTGACATTCAAAATTTCAAGGTATTTTTATAATTTCAACATTAAAAATGTGGAAATAGGTTTTCCCTAGCTCTCTGCCACCCATCCCCAATTTCTTTATGTTGTTTCTCTGCATTCTTTCAGGTGCTTTGGAATGGAGCTTTGAAATTAGACAGACCTAGATATGAATCTTGGTCCAGACATAGCTCTGTGACCCTGAACAAGTTGTATCACTTCCCTAAGCAACAGTGTTATCTGTAAAATGGAGATACTCAAATCTAGCCCATTCAGCTATTTTGAGGCTTTATAAAATCTAAAGTACTTAGCACAATAAATGAGAGTTGTTGCTATTATTATTATTCTATCCGGATGCCTGATTTTACTGCCTCTTGTGTCTAGTTAAAAATCATGCCTTGCCCTTTCTATAGTAATAGAATGTAGTATTTGCAGTAGCAGCAGCTAGGCCAAGTATATAAAACTGTATATATACACAGTCGTATTTCAAAGACCTTCTTCTCAGAATGTCTTTTCCAGTGGACACTTGTAATTATATATTCACTTCTTTTGTAGCAATTGGGGCACTGAAGATGATGCAACCCAGAGTTACCACAGTGGCAACTCAGATCCTCGAGGATTTGGTATGTTTACCCATTTGTATGTAATAACCTATTGATTTGTGTGATTGTGCTTGTGTACCTTTCCATAATTGTAATAAGTCTAAAACATTCATGGGCTAGTTACAACGTATAATAGTAGATGCATTAAAGGCATAATGCTTTTTATCTTCCACAAATAATCTGATTATATCTCCAGAAGACTTTTTTTTTCCCCAGAAGACTTTTTAATTTAAAAAATAAAATTGATATGTGGTGATTCTGATTTCTGTTACTGTACACCTCCACCTTGACCTGAAATCTCTCACTAAGGATTTCTAGATCACAAATTTCAGCTGGCCACCCTTTAGTTAATGTCAACAGCAAACCTATTAAGTATGTATCAGTGAGTTTTCTTTTTTGGTGTGGTTATTCTTACCAGGTTGAAATATGTGTGAACCAGTATTAGTTCATTTAATAATTTACAGTTCAGAAAAACTAATTAATTTTATCTAGCCAGTTAAATTTTTGTTCCTTTATATTCTTGGTGTGGTACTATAGGATCAGCACTGGACTGGTAACCACAAGGTCAGCAGTTCAGATCCACCGAGTTGCTCCTTGGAAACCCTATACAGGGTCTCTGTGAGTTGGAACCACTTGACGTAGGCTTTGAACCTAATTGACACAATTGGTTTTCAGATACTTTGTATTTTTAAATTAACAAGCTTTGGAAGCCATGCACACCCTTGTTATACCCTGTTGTAATTATTTTTTCCTTTTCTTCTGCTTTTTTTGGGGGGTGATCACTTAAGGTCACATTGGAATAGCTGTTCCAGATGTACATGGTGCTTGTAAAAGATTCGAAGAACTGGGAGTCAAATTTGTGAAGAAACCCGATGATGGTGAGTCTCCTGTCCCTTTTCTTTAGTTAAATAATACTAAGTACCCATAGCACTCCTGGTGTGGTGCTGTAGGATCAGCACTGGACTGTAAAACCACAAGGTCAGTGGTTCAAACCCACCAACTACTCCTCGGAAACCCTACACAGATTCCCTGTGTGTTGGAACTGACTCGATGGCATCCAACAACAACAATATAGGGAACCCTGGTGGTGTATAGGATAAGCACTGGATTGTTAACCTCAAGGTCAGCTGTTCAAACCCACCAGCTGATCTGATAGAGAAAGATGAGGCTTTTTGCTCCCATAAATTTTTTTTTATCTCAGAAACCCTATACAGGGTTGCTATGGGTCAGAATCCAGTTTCAACTCATAGTGACCCTGTATTGGATTGCCGAGGAACACAGTCCAGCGCTTATCCTACTGTGCCACATCAGGACAGAGGGCACAATTGTAGTGAAAATCCTTTTGGTTACAAGTACAGGTAGGCCCCTAACTTCCCATGTATTTGCATTACAAAGAACTTCATTTACAACCATCTGTGAAGTTGTTTTTGTTTTTCTGGTACATCATTGTTCTGATGTACCGCATACATAATTTGTACATAATTTGCTGGGAGCTCTGGTAGCCTAGTGGTTACAAATTGGGCTGCGAGCCGCAAGGTCAGCAGTTCGAAACTACCAGCTGCTCCGTGGGAGAAAGATGAGGCATTCTGCTCTGTAAAGATTAACAGCCGCGGAAACCCTGTCACTATGAGTCGGAACTGACTCCATGGCACATAACAACAACAACAACATCATTTGCAGATGTTCGATATTATGGTAAAGACACTGATAATATAAGGGGTCTTCAAAAAGTTCATGGGAAAATTCTATTATCTTTCAATTAAATTTTTCCACTAATTGTTTGAAGCCCCCACATAAAATTAAAAATAATTACATACTTCATTTCAATCAGAACTGAGTCATCAAAATGGAACCCCATTCTAAGTCAGACAGTATTTGTCCTAGAAGCCTATTTCAGACCAGCTTAAGCAAAAAAGGGGAAACTATTGGAGTCCTGGTGTGGCACTGTGGGTTAATGCGCCAGACTGCAAGGCCGTTTGAACTGCAAGGTCAGCGGTTCAAGCTCACCAGCTGCTCCTCGGAAACCCTACACAGGGTCGCTATGGGTCGGAATCAACTCGACAGCACTTAACAACACTGGAAATTGTCTGGCTAGCAAAAGTGGTCTCACACCCTGAGAGCTATTGAAACCTGTGCTACCTTTCCCACTCTATTGAGCCCACCACACTGTCTGCTTTCACTGTTTCAGTGTGTGTCTGGTCACCCCAAAATAGATTTCCTAAAAGTCTATTTTTTCTGAAATTAGTGCAATAGCCCCAGCTCTCTTTAGTTACTAATCACCTGTTATGTCTTTTAAAACCTTTGCATATCTTTATGTCACTTAAAATTGCATTCATCTAGATTTTGCTGGATTTATATACATTGAAATTATTTTACTTAGATCTCTTTCTGCCATCATGATTTTAATTTTCTATACTGCTTCATTTTTAATCTTTTTTTTATTTAATTAAAATATTTAATATCCAAATCTCCCTAGTAAGGTAAGAACTTGCTCTCTTCCACACTTACTATTTTGCTATGCTATTACTATTACCCAGAACTGACTCAATGGCACTTAACTACAACAATAGATACATACATACATATATATATATATATATATATATAGCCTAATGTGACGCTATGGGTTAATGTGCTGCACTGCAAAGTCATTTGAACCACAAGGTCGGTGGTTCAAGCTCACCAGCTGCTCCTTGGAAACCCTATACAGGATTGCTATGAGTTAGAACCAACTCAATGGCACTTAAAAACAACACAAGAATATGTGGAGTCCTGGTGTGGCGCTGTGGATTAATGTGCCAAACTGCAAAGCCGTTTGAACTGCCATGTCAGCGGTTCAAGCTCACCAGCTGTTCCTTGGAAACCCTATACAGGATCGCTATGAGATGGAGTCGACTTGATGCCACTTAACAACAATATATATGGAGCTCTGATAGTATAATGGTTACAAATCAGGCTGCTAACCTCAAGTTCAGCTAGTTCGAAACTACCAAAACTACCAGTGGTTCCACGGGAGAAAGATGAGGCTTTCTGCTCCCATAAAGATTTACAGCCTTGGAAACCCAATAAAGGGTCACTATGAGTTGGAACCAACTCCACGGCACACCACCACCACCACTATCTAGCTAGACATTATATATATATATCCTTTGGATATTTCTGACTTTCTACTTAAATACCTCAGCCAAACTGTTTTCAAATTGTTTGTGAACCATAAATGTTGAGACTTTGTATTCCTGAAAGTATTTTACCATGCCTTCATAGGTGATTGAGTTTGTTATATCCTAGTCTTGTTTTCTGGCAATCTTGAAAATGCAGCTCCATTGTTTTTTGCATCCAATGTTGCTGTTGAAAAATGCTGTCAGTCTAGAGCTTCCTGCCATAGTTAACATTGGATAAATTTTAAAATCAAAGTGATTTTGCCAGTGTCTTATGGCTCTAAGAATAGAAACATCTGGTTTATGATGTAAGTACATGTAGGTTTTTTGCAGCCTTTAGTGGAGGATCTTCGGGTAGCCCATGCCAATTGGTGCTTATAACACTAGAGCAGGGATGGGGTTCTTTGCACATGTTTTGTTCTGAAAGCTTTTTATATTTGTATTGTTTTGTGTTTTACACTTGCCTTCTTCCTGGGAGATTTACTCAAACTGATAAACCAATTAGCTATTTTTTCTTCAGATTTACCATCCTGACTATTGCGTTCTTAATTTTCGCCTTTGTATCCTCACCCTTAATTTTTGCTTGGTTTCATTAATACCTTGTTCTTGTTTCATATTGTTAATATGTCATACTTCTCATAACTCTTACATATTTTAAGTTCTTGGTTTATTATTCTTATAGTTCTTCTATTCAAAACTGGAATCTATTATTTTATTTTGATGGTTTTGTTCTTCAGATTGTTTGTTTAGGCTTCTGAGCTTATTTTTCCAATCCATCAGGCAGTATAAATTAGGGAAGAGGAAGACCACACATCTCAGTTCTTAAGGGCCCTAATGACCTTGGGAAGGTGACTGGATGAGCCAAGGCTGTTGTTGTTAAGTGCCGTTGAGTCGATTCCGACCCACAGCGATCCTGTATAGGGTTTCCAAGGAGCAGCTCCTGAGTTGGAACCACTGACCTTGGCACCTGAAAATAAGAGCTTAACACATCACACTCTTCAAAACAATGCTTTAGGTCAATCTCGCTCCCTTTGTCTCTCAGAAAGAGGCAGTGTTAGTAGGAGCCACTCCTTCAATTGGAATCCCAGCCCTGGATTCTTGGAGATAGGCTAAGGGTTGCAGAGATCAAAGCTTCTGTACTGCCTCTATTACCTCATGAAGGCATCTAAACCAGCAGTTCGCGCACCAACCCTCAACTCTCCACTGTTTCCATGTGTGTTTGGCCACCCAGAAATAGGTTTCTTAAAGTCACTTTTATCTGCTATTAATATAACTATACTACATGCTATGGAGGAAGGCACCAATGTTGATACTCAAGGCATTAGGAGAACCTTTTGTTGGTTATCTGACAGCTACGAGGGGCTGCATTAGTCCAGGCCATGACTACCACACCAACTAGTCACAGCAGTCAACCCTACCTCTCTACCCAGTCCTCGTCCCCCCATCTACCCCAGTTTTCCATCTGTGCTCCTCAGGAGTTGGGGAAAGGAGCCAAAGTTAGGAATCAAACTGACTCAGCATCTGGATCCCCAAACAAATGTCTGAGGTCACATTTTTCAATTTAAGTAAACTTCTGACCTACAATCCCAGCTAAGAATTCCTGAGAGGATGAATCTGATCAGCAGAGATCGATGGTACAGTGTATAAAGGATTTGTACAGCCCAAGTGTCTGAGTGTCCCAGCAGTGCAGCTAGGCCTTGCTACGCTATACCCTTGATCACCTTCCTGTTCTCGTTTTCCCCTCTTTAAAATAAGACCCTGCCTCTGACTACTGTATTGATATCATGAAGCATGAAGGTGAGGTAAATACTTGGTATTTTAAAGACACCGCCAGTTCCGGTTGAATAGAAGATAAAATTTTAGTCAGTCTGAAAAACATACATTTGAGCAACACTGATAACAAATTTTTTAATAAAAATCAAAACTATAGATAAAAATAGCCTACTTCATTAAAATATAAATTAAAATTTGAATTAATAAAGAATATATTTAAATTTTTAAAGTTTTGTGTGTTTTTCAGTCTGTTTAATATGAATCATTTTGTTTTACAGGTAAAATGAAAGGTCTGGCATTTATTCAAGATCCTGATGGCTACTGGATTGAAATTTTGAATCCTAACAAAATGATAAATATCAGTTCCTGAGAATCGTGCTTTTAGATTTCAATGAAGACAGACATTGTAGAGGTGGGAAGAAAATAATGTGATTCAAGATAGCCAGATAACAGAAGCTTCTCGAGCTGTCCTAACTGAAATGATCCTTGATTCATTTCTCTTTCCTATTTCGGCTGTGTTTTTCACCTACCTGTTCAGTTCTTTTGATTTTAAAGTATTACTTTAACTTATGTCCTTGAATGTAATTGTATAACTTGACTTTTTAAGGTAATAATTAGAACAGTTCCCTTCAGAGTTTGCATTTGCCTTTTATTTCTAAATCTGACTTCTCGTCAAGCCTACCTTTGAATCATCATTTTTTTAAAAAATTCATTTTAACATGTTTTTGTTTGTTATCTTCTGGGGTTTCAAAAAAGTTATCAGAAATAACTTCTCACAATGGAAAGTTCAAAGCACTGAACAAAAATGAAACTTTGTGTATACTTCAAACAGTATGAAGTGTTTATTTTACAAAGGAGAAGGTACTTTGGGGAGCAATTCAGAATTATGCTAACAGGGATGCTCATTGAAAAGCTACTTTATTATCATAAACTACTTCCAAGGTTCAAGGACTAACCTCATTTATTTTAGGACTAGGGTGGGTAGGGAGGGAATAATACTTACTGGGTTCTCAGACAATAGACTAGGTTGTCACATACATTATCGCTTTTAATCCTCAAACTATCTTATGAGAAAGAATGCAAGCTAGACATGTAAAATAACTAGTGAATTTAAAGCAATGTGAATAGATACAAGTATTTTCATCATCATTATTAATATTTAGATTATGTGTCAAAACTTGGTACCTCACAATACCTCTCTCATCGCTTTCTGTGAAAATCTCTGTTGAGCTTGAACGCTATCTTCCCAGTTCACAATGAGAGGAGAAGCAGTGGAGGAAGTCTAGCACTGACTGCTTTGGGTACGCCCCCATCATTCCTGTAGAAGTTGCCTCTCTTACTCCATGCAGTCCCTCATAATGCATTAGAAATTGTGTTCAGTGGTAAAACTTAGTTATCAGAAATCAACTCGGAGGATCTTCCTGCCATAGTTAACATTTGATAAATTTTTAAATCAAAGTGATTTTGCAAATGTCTTAATGGCTCTAAGAATAGAAACATCTGGTTTATAATTTAAGTACATGTAGGTTTTCTGCAGCCTTTAGTGGAGGATCTTTGGGTAGCCCATGCCAATGGTTCTTGTACCACTAGAGCAGGGATGGGGAACATCCGGCCCTCGGGCTGTATAAGGCCCACAAAATCATTTGGTCTGGTTCTGCCAAGGCAACCACAGCTCCAACCATCATGTTGTTAAGTGCCATCAAGTTGGTTCCAACCCATAGCGACCCTGTATAGGGTTTCTGAGGAGTGGCTGATGAGCTTGAACCACTGACCTTGTGGTTCAAATGACTTTGCAGTCCAACGCATTAACCCAAAGTGCCATACCGGGACTCCAGCCATCATGTTGTTGTTATTGTGAAGTGCCGTTGAGTCAGTTCTGACCCATAGCGACCCTGTATAGGGTTTCCAAGTAGCAGCTGGTGAGCTTGAACTTCCAACCTTGCAGTTCAAACGGCTTTCCAGTCTGGCGCATTAACCCACAGTGCCACACCAGGACTCCAGCCATCGCATTAGGAGTGCGTTAATTAAATGTTTGAACAAGTACAGCAGTCTAATCTTTGAAGTTGATAATTCTGTATGGCCTGCAAATGATGTCATGAATTGTGGCAGAAAAAGGATTCCCCACCCCTGCTCTAGAGGCAGATTTCATTTCCTTTTTGGACAGAATGTATTTATCTGAGCAATTCAAACAAAATAGGAATACTTACAGATTTAAATGACATACAGTATTTTAAGTGGCTGTTTCATTTGTAAACTTCTGTCCAACATAGTCTGTCTTTTTAAAAAAGGCTGCATTCAAGGGCAACTGCAAGGATTTGAAAAGGCAAAAAAGATTGTTGCAAGGTGTCTTCAGTTTGGTTCTGATTCATGGGAACCCGTTGTACAACAGAATAAAACACTACCCAGTCCTGCTCCGTCCTCACAATCGTTGCTTTGTTTGAGCCCTTTGATGCAGCCACTGTTACAATCCATCTGGTTGAGGGTATTCCTCTTTGTGGCCCTGTGGGTTAATGCGCTGGACTGCAAAGTTAGTTTAAACCTCAAGGTCAGCGGTTCCAGCTCACCAGTCGCTCCTTGGAAATCCTAGACAGGGTCGCTATGAGTCGGAACCAGCTCGGTGACACTTAACAACAACTACTTTACCAAGCATGATAGTCTTCTCCAGGAACTGGTCCCTTCAGAGTATATAAGATGAAGTCTCACCATCCTTGCTTCTAAGGAGCATTTGAGTTGCTTCTTCCAAAAACAGTGCCTTCCAAATTTGCTCCATCTTCTAGTATATTCAGTACTTTTCACCAACACCATAATTGTTGTTGTTAGGTGACGTCGAGTTGGTACTGACTTAAAGTGACCCTATGCACAGCAGAACAAAACACTGCCCAATCCTGGGCCAACCTCACTGCTGTCACCATACTTGAGTCCATCGATGATACCACTTGGCCAATTCATCTCACTGGGGGTCTTCCTCTTTTTCTCTGACCCTCCACCTTACCAAACATGATATCCTTCTCCAGTGACTGGTCCCTCCTGACAGTATGTCCGAAGTGTGAGAGATGAAGTTTAGCCATCTTGGCCTCCAAGGAGCACTCTGGCTGCACTTCTTCCAGAATGGATCTATTGGTTCTTTTGGCAGCCCATGGCACTTTCAATATTCTCCTCCAACACCATAACTCAAACGCATCAATTCTTCTAGTCTTCCTTATTCACTGTCCAGCTTTCGCATGCATATGAGGTTATTGAAAATACCTTGGCTTGGGTGAGGCGCACCTTAGTCCTCAAGCTGACATCTTTGCTTTTCAAAACACTTTAAAAAGGTCTTGTGTAGCAGATTTGCCTAATGCAATACGTCGTTTGATTTCTTGACTGCTGCTTCCACGACAGTTTATCCAAGAAGAATGAAGTCCTTGACCACTCGTCTGTCAGTTTGTCGTACTGTGGTGGCTTGTGAGTTGCTGTGATTCTGAAAGCTATGCCACCGGTATTTTAAATACCAGAAGGGTCACCCATGGTGGACAGGTTTCAGATGAGCTTCCAGGCAAAGACAGACTAGGAAGAAGGAGTGACGAACTACTTCTGAATATTTAGTCACTGAAAACCTTATGAATAGCAGAGAAACGCCATAATTAAAAGGCGTCAATTCTGTGGTCTTCCTTATTTATTGTTCAGCTTTTGCGTACATATGAGATGGTTGAAAATACATGAAGGAAGTTAGTCAGCATTATCTTTTTATCTTGCTCTTAGCTGACTTGATTCAGAATGAATGTTGTTTGTTTACTTTAACATTTTAGTCTGAAATTGCACCATTTTCCTAAGGTACAATTTGGACATGAGCGCCACCCTGTGTTTATTTTAAAAATCGTTAGTCTGTATATTGACTGGACCAGCAGCATCTACATCAACCGCCTCGGAGCTCATTAAAAAGGAAAATTCATGTTCCATCTCAGCCCTAGTGAATCAATAAAGTTTGAGAAGCACAATCGTGCAGACTGCTTTTTGAAGCTGCTAGTATCAACACAAAACTCTACATTTATGAATTATTTTCTTTAGTATAGTAGGTACAAATCGGGCTGTGAGCCTTAAGGTCAGCAGTTTGAAACTACCAGCTGCTGCTCCGTGGGAGAAAGATGAGGCTTTCTACTTCCGTAAGGATTTACAGCCTCGGAAACCCTGTACAGGGTCGCTATGGGTCAGAACCGACTCGACGGCACTTAACAACAACAACAACATGCAATATATGGACTCCTGGTGTGATCAGCACTGGACAACGAACCTCAAGGTCTGCAGTTCACACCCACAAGCTGCTCCTTGGAAACCCTATACAGGGTTGCCATGAGTTGGAAGTGACTTTGTGAGTCAGAATCGACTTGGCACTTAACCACAACAGCAACTATTTCATATAAGGAGCTGTAGTAGTAGAGTGGTTATATGTAGTAGATGGTTAGTTGTAAGGTCAGCAGTTAGAATCTACCAGCTACTCCATGGGAGAAAGATGAGGTTTTCTGCTCCTATAAAGAGCCCTGGTGCGGCGCTGTGGGTTAATACACTGGACTGCAAAGTCAGTTTGGACTATAAGGAAGGTTGGAAGAAAGTGAACAGCTGGTGTCCCCCCACATGAACCATTACGTTGGCATTTGCTAAGAGGTCAGTTATCCCATATGACTCTTTACTCAGTCTCTGTAGCTAGTTACATCACCATATTGTTCCTCCAGGTCTTGCTACTTCATTCTGCTATTTCCATGCTATGTTAGGCTGCAGGGAAACATTCAAGGCTAAGACGTCTCCCACAACCCATTCCCAGGAACTGTGGGTCACTTTCTGTTCTTGCAATACACATTGTTGTTGTTACGTGCCATCGAGTCGGTTCCCACTCATAGTAACCCTGTGTAGCGTTTCCAGGAGTGACTGGGGAATTTGAACCACTGACCATGAAGTCCAAACCAACCTTGCGATCCAGTGCATTATCCCACAGCGCCACACCAGCACTAAACTATAGGAAACATTCTGAGTTTTATGTAAGGTCCAGTCTAGTAGACACCTCACATAGCGATCTCTTCTCAGGGACCTTGCTGGCTCCCTATCGTAGATACCCAGACACCTAAATCTCAAGACTCTGTGATTTCTCTCCATTTTTAAAAAAGATAGAAAAACCAATCATCAGCTGTATATGGAAAAGGAAAGGGATCCAGATAAGCAAAGCTCTACTAGAGCATAACGTAGGAAGAAGCCTCAGACTCCCTGATCTCAAAACCTACTATATAGTATGGTAGTCAAAAGTACAGCTGAATCAGAG